CCCCCACTGAAGAAAGACCAAATAAACAAAATTGAAAAGAGGGAAATGATAAATTATAAATTCTAAATTAACGGACCGATCTAGGATGAAAAAATGAAGTAGAATGTGTCACAAGGTAAAATTCAACTATTTGTGCTGACGTACTTCCTGCGTCGTCACTGGTATTATTCACTTCATTAAAAATGTCTTGTGACTCCTCTTCGTCACTGTCGGGTATAATGAAATTCATTTCGCTCTTTTGTTTAACGGAATTTGTTACGATTTTCCTCGTGAATTTTGGCTTTTGGTGGCAAACTATAGTTCAGCCGCACGAGCTATAGTGTAAGAGGGACTCACTTCACGTCTTACTTAACAGGCCATGGCCCGTAAATCGTGAAATCGGGGCTAGTTTTTACTTACCGGCCCATGGCCTGGTAAATCCCACCTACGGGTTCTAAAACACGCCACGGAAACGCCACTTAACGGGCATGAATGACAAAAAATTTAATAGTAAAGCCTTTCTACTGAACATTTTATTAGTTTTTGGTGAATTCTATTGCAATGGTCAGTTGAAAATGTTCTACAGAAAGAGTCAATAGAATTCCATTTTTCTGTACAACTTATTGGGGCATGCGTAGAGTTCACGAGCGTGGATAAAGTGAATTCTCGTTTCAAAATTCACTTTACGCATGATCTTGAACTTTACACACTCATACACAAAAACAACCACTTTATCCTCACGAACAGTTCATTGCGAAAAGTTCGTTGCGAACAGTGAACTCGGCAGGCTCATAAAAAATAACATGTGTTACCCGTGCATGCGAAAAAATGGAATTTGACGCACTAATAACACGATATACTATTTTTTACACAAGGTGTGTTGCGCTCCCAAGGGTCAAAGAATACTTTTTTCACGAGTGTCAAACCATATTTTTCATCATAACGTGGAAAGTGAAGCGTGCGTAAAATTTCACTTTACGCACAAGACATGAAACAGTATATTGCGTTACTAGTGCGGAAAGTTCCACTTTTTCGCACGCGCCTGTAACGTATTCGATTTTTTAATAGTATATTTCCCACCAAGGGAGGGTAAATAAAGGAGTCGTGCCCACGTGCAGAATTACCACCCGAGCCGAAGGCGAGGGTGGGAAGCACATGGGTAAGGGTCCTTTATTTTATCTCCCGTGGTGAGAACGTTATTTTTCATCATGGCGTAGGCGGAAAGGCAGATTTTCGAAAATGTGTCCTTTCCGCCCGCCGTGGCAAAGTAGTATATTGTGTTACTAGTGCGGAAAGTTCCACTTTTTCGTACGCGCGTGTAATACATTCTATTTTTTGTGGTACCTGCCGAGTTCACTGTTCGGAGCGGTAGCGCGGGTAAAGTGGTTGTTTTTGTGCACGAGTGCGTAAAGTTCAAGAGCGCGCGTAAAACAAGCACTTTACGTACACTAAACGGTTCCGAAAAGTGCACTTTTCAGGCAAAATCCATCACAAAGAAATCATTTATTTGATATGAATAAAAACACGAATAAAAATCAATTTCAAGTTTGAAAAAAAAATTTGTTGAGTAGATGAATAGTAATGTTTTCGTCATTAGAATTATTCCGACGTTTTTTCCTACTACAATACTTTACCTTTACATACATGTGTTTGGGGATAATTACAGAGATAAAAAAACACGACCAGCGGAAATGGAGTTAAGAATTCACAATGCAATGGACAATTTTAGTGTTTAACGTAGTTTCATACATTCTGGCTTCGCAGAATTTTGTTCACAACATGAAGTATTTTCAAATTATGAATTATTTTATTGTTTCATGGGTGTCGCTTGCATCGGCATCGCCTATGCCATCATTCAATCTACTGTTCCCAGGTAATTATTCCAGTATTTTTACATTTTTGCTCTCTTGTTTCAAAGTGAGACGGAAATCGTTGTCTTCATATTGTTAAAGAAATTAATGACAGCATTCCGAAACGAGGGAAAATGGTTCAGAAATAACCGCTCATTGTCGAGATTTACATATTTCAACTGCAGTGGAATAGTTAATGCACCTTGAAAACTAGTACGCGGAGAAAAAGTTTTGAAAAATTACCAAGCAAATCAAGTAATCGTAGAGCGGAAATCAGTTCTACACGGAGAGAAATTTTTGATAAAAATTATCCTACCGTTTCATAAAAGTGTATCATGAGTCATCGTTTCCTCATTTCTATCCCGAAATTTAGTAATAATTAATATATGATGATCAAATTTTATTCTACGTGAGAGAAATTTTATCCTGACGCATAATAAATTTTACCCTTCCAGTCCAGTAATTTTTACTCTACCGGCACGGTAATTTTTAGTTTTCTCAGGATAAAATTTCTCTAACGTAGAATAAAATTTGATTATCATGTATCAACTTTTACTAAATTTCGGGATAGAAATGAAGAAACGATGACTCATGATACACTTTTATAGAACGGTAGGGTAATTTTTATCAAAAATTTCTCTCCGTGTTGTGGTGCATATTTCATGCGAGAGTTCTTCATTTAATGAGATTTCATTCTTCCAGGGACGAAGTGGTGCGGAAAAGGCGATGTGGCCGAAAATGATCACGATTTAGGCTGGTTTGAGCAGACAGACGAATGTTGTCGAGACCATGATAAATGTCCAAACTACGTAGCTGGCGGCGAGACAAAATTCGGCCTCCACAATGAAGGATCAATCACGATGTAACGAACAACCACGAATACCTGCATCGCTCCGTGCATTAATTAGACTTATTTCACATTTCATAGAGCTGAGTGCAAGTGCGATGAAGACTTCAGGGAATGCCTGGGCGATGCTGAGGAATCTTTCATGAGTTTCATCATGGAATCTTCCTACTTCGATTTACTGCCCAGAAGATGTTTCAATCTAGTACCTGGGAATAATGGAACCCAGAAGGGCGAGTTGGAGAAAAATCTACCTTTCCAGGAAGTCATCCAGAAATTTTTGGACATACTACCGAGTGATAACTCGGTTGTGGAAGTTATTTCCGATAGTATTGATGGTCTGGCAGACATGGTTCTGTCAGGCCAAGAGGTATCATCGTAGGTTACTGTCAATTCCAATGAGAATAATGTAATAAACTACAGTTTACCAAATTTTGGTTTTTCTCTGTAATTACTGTCAAATTTTATCTCGTTGCCGTAGCCAGAGAAATGTAAAGTAAGTCACATGTTTACACGGTTCAACCTTTTTTTTAAAACTAGGGCTGCATATGAGACGAAACAACAAAAAAAGAATTATTTGACCATAGAAAACTTCAAAGATGATCTACACGGAGAAAATTATCAGGTAAATTTCACCAACTAGTTGTTGAAATTTAACAACTGGTTGGTAATTCATTTTTTCAACAACTGGTCGGTGAAATTCACCAAATAAATTTATCCGTGTAAATATTTAATTGAAGGGAACAGAATTTTTTGTTCGAAGATTGACTTTCTGCAGGAATACAAGAGATTCCCCTCCGCCTCATCTCCTACATTCAATCATCGCCAGTTGATCGTTAATTTATGATTGTTCGATCCCTGTGATTGTAAGAGAAGATTGATCTTTCCTTGGAGTTCTTGAAATTTTGTTAGTAAACAATTCAATCATGTAAATTAATCATCCCACAGCATAATTATGTTATCCCGAACATAAAGCAATTTCCCTGAAAGAATTTTCTCCCAGAACTCTTTCAAAATTGAAAAGTATGTGCACATTACATGCTGAAAGCTTGATGGAGTCATACTATACCCTAGTTACATATGTAACTACGACCCGTTTCTTCATTGAGTAAATGCGAACGCCAAATTCAAATACTCGCGGTTGAGGTCCTCCACTTCCTAGAACCCTCCACCCTCCCAAGTTTCCGTAGGCAACTGACAAATAGAGAAATGTCGTATGCAACTTTCCCAGCAGATTAACATTGAGAGTTACCACCAGAATATTAGGTACCCCCGAATGACGGGGTCTTGAGCTATACTCGACTCAACGGAACTTATTAAAATACTTTCGCCCCGATAAACACAAAACGTTTGTCCCCAATCCCTTGAAATCCACTCTGGCTAAATTTAAAAAGACTCAATGTGACTTATTCGAGAATGAGATTATTTCACCTGTAAAATTTCAACTCGAATTCATCGCAGTTTCTCGAGATCAAAGCGATGCATGTGGGTGGGACTAGAGCAGAGAAGCGGAGTTTACTACAAGTGGCGCGGAATAAAGGCAACGAGACTTAAGGAACAATCGGTTAGAGCATACAGCATCATTGCTAAACGTTGACGACTGTGCTTGTTTGTATTACTCGGGCACTACTGGTGTACTCGACGTTTTTAATTCCGTATTCAAAGTCTGATTGTGCTGAATTCTGTGAAACCGTTCTTTTTGCTTTCGAATGGAAGCTTTGTTATCGTGATTGTTTGTAATACCTGTCTCAAAAGTTCACTTTTCGAAACCGTTTAGTGTGTAAAGTGGTTGTTTTACGCACAATGTGCGTCTAATCACAATCACTTTACGCACGACCTTAAACTTTACGTACACCGTGCACAAAAGCAACCACTTTACCCCCACTACGGTTCCGAACAGTGAACTCGGCAGGGATTACAAAAAATAGGATGTGTTACGTGTGCGTGCGAAAAATCCGTGTATATGAAAAAATTTATTTATTTCATTTCGTCGAAATTAATGGAACGAATCTTTCTTAGCCGGGTGTATGGCCGAGTCGGTAAGGTGTCCGCCTACAAAGCCAGAGGTCCTGGATTCGAAACCTGGCACCGGTGAAATTTTTTCTGGATTGTTTGATTTAGTCAAATAATATAAATACACCAATGTGAATATTTCAAATAAAATGTTAAAATGTCGAGAGAAATGGAATTAATCATGTTCGAATCATGTACAAACAACCTACAGTTTCCACGTGTCTCGAGAACCTAACTGACTACAATTGATTCTCACCATCGTGTGTGATTGCGTTCCGATCATTCACTTGAAATACTGTCATAACATCGTAACCTACAAGTTACAGAGGAAATAGTCGTGAGCTCTAACGACAAGAAAGCGTCGAGAGCCCGTCACTAATACCCTAGCTGTGGATGTGACGTTAAATCCAAAGAAAGAAAGAAAGAAAGAATCTTTCTTGGCTATTATGAATATTTTTTAAAAATATTTCCTCATCAGTATAAAAAATTACAGAATTTTCGTCGAACATGAAAAAATTCAATTTTTGGGAAAAGGATAAACATCTTGAAAGAAACTAAAGAGATTGAATTGACGGGTAATTAACTCTCTTACTTCGATATTTCGTTAGGAATCCGTACCAAAACTGTTTCACTAGCGGAGTTTGCATTTGTTGGTTTAATTACGACGGAATAACTCAAGTGCAAGGGAAAATCCAAGCTGTCGTAACGTTTGCTGTGGGTTTTATTCTGTTATTTTTGTCTCTACTTTTCTTATATTATTTTTCTGAGAAAAAGTTTAGAGTAATGAGGCCGAGGTGGATGCACGGCCAGCCGTAGTTAATTTTGGGCTTAATAATAAAGGGTGAACCACACGGACAACGAACCATAAGCAACAATATGCGCGCCAGATGGTTTAGATTGTGAACTAGTATCTACATTTCACATCTGTGAAGAAAAATTTGGGAGGCTGTGTTTACACAAAAAATTGGAGATTATTCTGCACGTATCGCGAGGAAAAAGGCGTTCACAAGAAATATTTATTTATGTGAATAATTAACACAATCAACACATGCTAACTTATGTGAATTCCGCGTATTTATAAATAACTTAATTAAATTCAAATAACAAAACTCAAGACAAAATAACAAATGATATCAATTTATCCGGAATCGTTTGATCATTCCTGTTATCTGAAATCTTTTAAACTGAGATCCACAAAAATTAAACCAATGGTCAATCAAAAAATTGGCTCATTGTAAATAAATGGCGTGATATATTTTTGAAATAAGTACTCTATGAGAAATTCGTCAACTTGTAAGTGAATATTGATAGACAACTTCACAGTAAAAAGAATCCAGATATACCAAAAAATTCTTGAAATTTTTCCGACAACAGAATTTTTTTCCGATATTTGGGAAATATTTCTGTTTCAAAACAGATCTTGGGCAGTATTTCTTAAAATTAATATGCAATTGTCAATTGAATTGAAGAAGATATCCAACATCGCATGTCATTCCAATTTATGGATCCAATCTCCCGAAACTCATTCGAAAAATAACGAGTTTTCCGCATTTTCTTTTACGAGAAATGGAAAAAACAAGACCATAAAGAAGGCAGAAAAATTGGGAAAACGAAAGGGATTCTCATCGGTGCACCTCGCCGTCACATCACTATCGTCATCCGCTCCGTCCGATTCGAGTGCACCAGGTGCATTCCAAAGCAGTACAACATCGAGAAGGGCTGACCAATGACGGAGTCACATCACGTTTACTTATGTCCCCGTTTCTTTCCAGAAAACTGTCGTATCGTCAGGACGAAAATTCGAGAAACAGGCCAACAAGTACTTCTACGTGACAATACAAATGTATATTTTGCATATTGAACAAGACATTTGTAGAGAAAATTGTGACAAACCTATTCTTTATAATAAACAGATTAAAAAATTTTCTCGCCAAAAGATTCAAAACTTTTGTCTTCGCAAATTAAGTAGAATAATAATAGAATCCTTTTAACAATATGCGTCAACGCTTCGGAGAAATGAATGAAATAATTGATACGAAGAAAACTTTGATTAAATGAAATCTATTCATTTAATCAAAGAAGGAATACTTGAACAAAATTTAGATTTTTTAGAGTAGAACTTGGGGGCTGCGCCCCCTATATCCCCCATAATCGTTATTCTGACCGTTATGACTCTTAATCTGGCCCTTATTATACCCGTCGTGACTCATAATTTGACCCTTCATTTCTAACCCTTAATTTTCGAGTCTCAATTTTCAGTACCAAATCGTCATCACCAGAAGTCGATTTGGATTTTATAATATGGAGAGATAGAGGCCCTTATGTTTACCCTTATGACCCTTAGTTTTGGATCCCCCTGACCCTTATTT